GTGAAAGACATGTACAGGGAGACGGAGGAGGGGGGGCACAAGAGAAGGGAAGAGTCTGTGACCGACTTTTTAAGAAATTCCCTGCACGTGGGCATGTGGGCTTACCGAACTACACCACGCATGCGCAGATTGCGTGACCAGGCTGCATGATTACATAATCACCCAGCATACTGATAACGTAAGACATAAGACCCCTTACTTAGCTACTGAACTGCACATGTGCAGTCATGCAGCTGGAGGAGTGGCAGAATCCTAATACACACCTGCTGAGGCAGGAGTTCAAGGTCATTCTTGGCTCAATAGCAAATTCAAGGTCATCTTGGACCATATCAGACTCTGTTTCAAAAAGGAAGGAAGGAAGGAAAAATGAAGTAAAAAGGCCAGGAATCCAGCACTCAGGAGGCAAAGGCAGATGGATCTCTGTGAGTTAAAGGCCACCCTGATCTACATAGCATATTCCAGGACAGCCAGGACTACATAAAGAGAGTGTGTTGGTTTGAATGAAAATGTCCTTCATAGGCTCACAGTGAGTGGCATTATTAGATGGGGTGGCCTTGTTGGAGGAAGTGCATCTCTGGAAAATTTTTGAGGTTTGAAATGCTCAAGCCAGGCCCAATGTCACTCTCTTCCTGCTGCCTGCTGATCTGGATGTAGGACTCTCAGCTGCCTCTCCAGCACCATGTCTGCCTGCACATTGCCGTGCTTCCTGCCAATGGACTAAACTTCCTGAAAATGGACTAAACCTCTGAAACTGTAAGCCAGCTCCAATTAAATGTTTCCTTATAAGAGTTGTCATGGTCATGGTGTTTCTTCACAGCAATAGAAACCCTAAGAAATTGGTCCAGGGACTAGAGTATTATGGTGATAGGCTGGACCATATGTTTGGAGGAATATGAAACACTTTGGGACTTTGAATTAGAAAAGCGATTGGACAGGACTTAACAGGCCATACTAGTAGGTGCATGGAAGACAGTGTTGTTGAGGGTGATTGAACTGTGTGGGGATGGCTCAAGAGATTTCAGAGAAGATGAATGTTAGTATGTGGCCTAGAGCTCATTCTTGTGACATTTTGGATGGCAAAGAATGTGGTCAATTTCTGCCTTTGTTAAAAAAAAAAAACAAAACACCTGCCTGAAGCTAAATTGAAGAGCTGTGGATTAACAGCTTTGGCAAAGGACATTTCAAAACAACCTAGTGTTGACTGTATTGTGTGGTTGTTAGTGGCAGTCGTATGCAGATACATAATGAAAAGGAGCAAGCTGAACAAGGAAAAATACCAATCGTATGGTTTGAGGAGCAAAGGTGCACCAGAAAGTTTAGTAGAACTAAACCCGTGTTCAAGGGGAAAAACTGAATAAAAGCCTAATGCTACAAGAAATAAAGGGAGTGGTGACCTCAAGGCAAGTAGCTAAGCTTCCAACTTGTGAAAAGGAGTTAAAGAAAAGCTTAGGAGCTGGGTGGTGGTGGCACATGCCTTTAATCTCAGCTCTCAGGAGGCAGAGCCAGGCGGATCTCTGTGAGTTCAAGGCCAGCCTGGTCTTGTGAGTGAGATTCAGGCCAGGCACCAAAGCTACATGGAGAAGCCATGTCTCAAAAAATCAAAAGAAGAAGAAGAAGAAGGAGAAGGAGAAGGAGAAGAAGAAGGAGAAGAAGAAAAGTTTAGGGTCAGGCATGATGGTACAGGCCTTTAATCCCAGTACTGGGGAGGCAGAGGCAGATAAATTTCAGAGTTCAAGGCCAACCTAGTCTACAGAGCAAGTTCCAGGACAGCTGAGTTTAGATAGTAAAGGAAACCATTGAAAACAGAAAACTGTGAAAATGTATTTGAATGAGGGAGCCATGTCCAGACACAGAAAGCAGTAAAACTTGGCAGCTTCAGCCATGTGGTTCTGACTTTAGAGTCAAGGATATAAGTAAAGGGTTATAGACTCTCCCTCCAAGACTAAGGAAAGCCACTGAGGTCAGGTGTGTGTGTCAGGAGTGTCCCTGCATGGAAGCCTAGAGGGGTCATTGTGTGAAGCTGTAAAGTTGAAGCTGGATTGCCTCACAGATGCCAGAGTCATGGGATACCTACTGAGGAGAGCTGCTATCAGGGAGTGGAACTGGCCCAAGAGAAAGAGTGTGTTGTAGTCAACAAAGCTGAAAGAAATTGGAGATTTGAAAAGTACTTTGACATCAGACATGGAGATGCAGTTTGGAGTTTGCCCAGCTGGTTTTCGGTCTTGCTTTGGTCCAGTATTTCCTCACTGTGCTCCCTTTCCTCCCTTTTGGAATGGTAATGTATGTCATGTGCCATTGTATGTTGGAAGTATGTGATCTGCTTCTTGATTTTGATTTTATAGGAGATTACAGTTCAGAGATTGCCAAGAATCCTAAAAGAGACTTTGAACTTTTGAACTTTTTTTTTTTTTTTTTTTTTTTTTTTTTTTTTTTTTTTTTGGTTTTTCGAGACAGGGTTTCTCTGTGTAGCTTTGCGCCTTTCCTGGGACTCACTTGATAGCCCAGGCTGGCCTCGAACTCACAGAGATCTGCCTGTCTCTGCCTCCCGAGTGCTGGGATTAAAGGCGTGCGCCACCACCGCCCGGCCGAGACTTTGAACTTTTAAACAGGGTTGAGAATGCTATAGACAATGGGGACTTTTGAAGTGGGACTGAATGCATTTCTGCATCATGGTATGGCAAGCCTATGGGGGCCAGGGAGTGGAATGTGGTGGTTTGAAAGAAAAGGGCCCCCATTGGCCCATAGGGAGTAGCACTATTAGGAGGTGTGGCCTTGTTAGAGGAAGTGTCACTGGGGATGGGCTTTGAGGTCTCAGATGCTCAAGCAAAGCCCAGTGTCTCACTCTCTTCCTGCTGCCTGCAGATCAAGATGTAGAACTCTCAACTACCTCTCCAGCACCATTTCTGCCTGCATGCCTCAATACTTCCTGCCATGATGAAAATGGACTAAATCTCTGAAATGTAAGTTAGTCCCAATTAAATGTTTTCCTTTATAAGAGTTGTCATCATCATGGTGTGTCTTCACAGCAATAGAAACCCTAACTAAGACAGAATTCTTGAATGAAAATAATAGGAAAAAAGTTGGTTTTTTGTTTTGTTTTGTTTTTTAATGAAGTGGACAGGAAACCCACCCTGACAGGGTTTCTTCTTCACCTCTGTCCTGGAGTTTTTCCCCGGCTCGGGTTACAGGTCTCTTTCATTTCAGGTCATGGCTTTCGCCAGTTCATCAGGAAGTAGTCCATGAGGGAGATACTCTACCCTGGCCTGGAATCTGGATGCTTCTGGACATCTTTACTTCTGGAAGTTAACTATTGAATGTGTCCCTGGAATCCAGCTGACACATGCACCTTTGAGCCAGGGCTGCAAACTCAGCACCTCTCGACCAGCAAGGCCAGTGACAGAAACAGGTGCAGCAGGGTGAGGGATGTCCCTGGTGACCTGGGGTTTCCTGCTAGCTCTTCACTCATTGATGGTTCTCTTACCTGCTTTTCCATTTCGGTGTCTTTCAGTTTTAAAAGTTACATGGGAAATGTGGGTAACAGTGTCACAAGCTAACACTTCTGAGAAGACACATTTGATCTTTTGCTGTCTGAGATATCTAGTCTGAAAGCTAAAGAAAGAGGCTATGACGTGAAGGGGGATGACCAGGTGACCAGCAGAAGTACACGGTGAAGGAGAACCTGCAAGCAGCTGAGTGGGTACCATGTGAGACAGGGCAAACATCTCCTGCCAGTAGCAATTGCTCCCTGAGGCCTGCTGTGGAGGTGCCTGCAGCAGGTGAGTGACAGGATCACCTAAGAGCTGTGGCTGGGCTTGGTGGCTCACCAAGCTACTTCTGCCTTGAATTCAGTCAGCTTCCCCAGACCTGTCCACAGACATCGAAGCAAATATAAATACCCAGTTTGTTTGGTAGTTTTACTTCTCTTTCTAAACTAACAAATGGGTGTTCTGATTTTACAGAGTGATTGCTTTTCAAAATAAACTTTATCACTAAAAAAAAACTGCAAATAAACACAACATTAAACACCCAAATTTAATACAAATTCCAACATTGGCTGCTTCTGCGTCACTCCCCGTCCTCACCAGCTAAGCCATGATGATCTGGTTTCAGTGTCATGGTCTTTCTGACCTCAGTGGGGAAGCACAGTGTTGTCTGTTTATATTTAGAGACCTCAAATCACTCATGTCTCCATGGTTGCTTTAGTAGGAAGTGGTACTTAAAGGCCACAACTGTGCTGCCTTTATATCTGGGTACTTTCACTGGACAAATCTAGGAAATACAGATTACAATTCAAATTTAACATTAAAGGATCTGTGTGTGTGTGTGTGTGTGTGTGTGTGTGTGTGTGTGTGTGTGTGTGTAAGTGCACACACATGTGGGGCCAGAGGACAATCTCCAATGTCGTTCCTTAGCAACCACCCATATTTATTTTGAGTCAAGGTCTGTCTTAGTTAGTATTTCTATTGCTGTGAAGAGACACCATGACCATGGCAACTCTTATGAACAAAACATTTAATTGGGGCTGGCTTACAGTTCAGAGGTTCAGCCCGTTATCATCATGGTGGTTGGAATGCACACATGGTGCCTCTCCACAGACCCAGAGTCACAAGGCCACTGCCATGGACTAAAGTCTCAGTAAATCCTGACCCAAATAAAGCCATTCCATTCTCTTTATTTGCAGAATGTCTCAGCTACACCACTGTAGTGATGGGAAACTAGCTAGTACAGCATTTATTTCTACTTCTTTTTAGTTATTAACATTACCTTTTCTTTTAACTAAATACGTAAAATATTAACAGGACACCAAGTCTAAAGCCATAGGGGATATACCACAGTAGAAGCACTCAGTTTCCATTTTTATTAACTCTGTTCAGTTGTCGGTTTCAGCCCTATATCCCTCTCTCCCACACCTCTAAGAGGAGGGTCACTCTGGCAGCACCACAACCTGGCTGCTCTACCAGTGTTGACTCAGCTGAGCCCACACATCTCCCAGGGTGCCACAGACCTGTGAGGACAGACTAGTGTCTGCGTTCGTCTCTTCCACGGGGTCACTGTCAGCTACGGCTCACTAGGGATAACAGAGGTGTCAGCCTTCTCAAACTTCCTGCTTGCAGTTTTGCTTCCCGTTTGCAGTACTTCAGTCCTCCTAACCACTCCGTATCAAAACTCCTTCATCTTGTTCAGTCTTCATATCCTGCCAGTAACCAGAGCATATGGGCAGCCATTCAGTTAACACTAACAATCTGGGCATCACCTCTATGCCAAGCCCAGGGCGAATAAGACATGATCTGAGATCCCACAACATACACAGCTGTGGGAAAGACACAGGAACACATCAGTGGTGCCACTTCGATGTGAAGGGCTGTGACTGAGACAGAAGGGAGGTTAAGGAGAACAAAAAAGTACTAGAACCCTCCTGCATCTGGGCTCAAAATGGCAGCTTAGCTGTGCTGGGGTCAGGGGAGTAAGGAATCCAAGAAAAGCAGGACCAAAACAGAAAGAAAATGGGAAAGAGCAAGCCAGGCAGGGGAAACCAGATGTTAATGAGGCATTCCAAGAATCTTAGACATTTCAGTGTGTGTGATTAGAGACCCGAAGATGGAGAGCTGGGTCAACACACCATGGGATGGAATGACTTCTTTTACTTTAATTAATTGTTTATTTATGTGTACATGCCACAGCACACATGTAGAGGTCAGAGAACAACTTGGAGCAGATCTCTCTTCTACTGTATGGGGGACCCAGGGATCAAACTCAGGTCCTCAGGCTTGGTAGCAGGTTCTGCTATCTACAGAGAAATCTCATTGGCCCCTTTCTTTTCCTTCTCTTCTTTTTTTTCTCCCTCTTTCTTCTCCTCCCTTGGTTTGTCCCTTCATTCCTTCCTTTCTTTCTTCCTGAACTCTTAGGGAAGCTATCAAAGGATTTAACACAGTGAAGAGATATAATGAGAGGTGTATTTTTAGAAACATATGCTGGGGCTGGGGATGCAGCTTGGGGATAAAGCACTTGCCTAGAATAAAGCTTGGAAGTTGATCAAAGAGCAAAGATTAGCGGGGCATGATGGCATATGTCTTTAATTCCAGCACTTGGGAGGCAGAGGTAGGCAGATCTCTGAGTTTGAGGCCAGCCTGGTCAATGTAGTGACTTCCAGGTCAGTCAGGGCTGCGTAGTAAGACCCTTTCTCAAGAAAGAAAAAATAAAGACTGGGGCTTGAAGATGGAGAAGGACATAACTGGGAGAGGACTAGTGCCATAATTCAGGGGAGAAATGAAAATGCCTGAATTAGAGCCTCACAGAGAGATGGGGTGGGGGTGGGGTGGTTCCCTGAGAGGCTTGAAGGAAAGAGCTGCAGAGTCTAGACTTGGCAAGCAGACAGGGGCTGCAGGATGCACTCAGAATGCTAGTTTGGACAGTTAAATGGGTTGTGGCACCACTCTTAACAGGAATGAGGGGGCAGCAGGCTGAAGGATGGGATTATACTGTCCAGCTCGTGACATGCCGAAGTCCTACACCTGTGCTGTAGGAAGCTCTGTGTTCTCTAGGGAGCACACAGCAGATCACAGGGTAAGGGCACACAGACAGGACTGCGGGGCTGTGTAGAGAGAGCCAGAAAGCAGAGCAGAAACACGAGCGTTAATAGGAATGAGAGCATGTGTTTGGGAGGCATGGGTAAAGTAATTCACTTCAAGAACCAATACATGGACCTTCAGTTGCTTTAATGAAGGCTGCAGCCCAGAGCGCCTGTCGACCCCTCCCTTACAAAGATTTCTTCACTATTCTTTCATTCCTATCACGATCACTAGGCCTTTCCTTAGGGTCCTTTAGTTTAGTTTAATATAATTCTCTTCCTTTTAAAAAATTTATTTTACATGTGTATGTATATGTCTGTGAGTGCACGTGCATATGTGTGCAGGTGTGTGCCTGTGTGTGCAGGAAAGACCTGAAGAGGGTGTCTGGTGTCCTCTTCCACCATCCTCTGCCTATCCCCCTGAGCCAGGGTTTCTTCCTAAACCTGGGGCTTCATCTCAGCTGGCCTGGAAACCGGGAAGCTCCAGCAACACCTCTGTTTCTGCCCTTCAGAGCTAGGGTGTGGGTGTCTGAAGGAACTCCAGCCTGTTGTGAGGGTCCTGGGATCCAAATGCCTGAGTTCGTAATTTTAGAGAAAGCATTCTTAATGATGGGTCATCTCTCCAGTCCCTTCTTTAGACTAGTGCACACTGGAGGCCACAAAAGGGCATCATATCCTCTGGAACTTGAGTTACAGATGGCTGTGAGCCACCATGTGGGTGCTGGGAACTGAACCAAGTTCCCCTGCAAGAGCAGCAAGTATTCTTAACCTCTGCACTATCTCTCTGGCCTCTATTTTTAATTTTTTTAAACAGGATAATATGATCCTGTCCTGTGCCTCAAAACTGTCTATACTATCATTTTAATGACCTTATTCTACCATATTCTGTTAATTTGCTTACAGTTTTTGGTGTTAAAAACAATGCAAATCTCCTGGCGGTGGTGGCGCACGCCTTTAATCCCAGCACTTGGAAGCAGAGGCAGGCAGTTCAAGGCCAGCCTGGTCTACAGAGCAAGTTCCAGGATAGCCAGGGCTACACAAAGAAACCCATCTTGAAAATAAAAAATAAATAAATAAAAACAAGACAAAACAAAACAAAAACCCAGCAAATTATGCCACCTTTCCCTTCTCCAAATTTATAGCACTGTTTTCAGTGCTGGATACTTTACCTCTCATCACAATCACTTCATGTTACAAAAACACAAATAACAATATAAACATTAACAATTTAAAATTGTTATTTAACTTTCTATGCATTTGCACCTTAGCTTTACTAAATATTGTATGTATCTGTCAGTGGAGGTCAGTCATAACCATCCAGGGTGAGGATCAAAGATTCTCACTCCATATAGGAGCACCGGAGACTCAGAGCAGCAAATATTAGGCAGTTTATTTTCCAGCTTTGCAAAGTTGGATGCTAGCCCAGAATAGCAAGCATGATGCCTGAGCACAGGGACATTTGTCTGTCTCTTAACAAAGATGTGCGCACGGGTTCGTCTCTAAGTTTTACACCTTGTTTATTTTAGAGTTTATGATTGCCCTTGTCACATATTCAGGGTGTTGGGAAAGCTGGATTGGGGCTGGGGTTTGGGATGTTGATCACTAGACTCTAGCAGGGCTCCTGTATTTTCTTTTCACCTGTAGCTGAGCCTGCACTGACTCAAGGCACTTCTGGAAATGGACCATACTTTTTATTTCTTAGAACAACAACAGTAAGAGATTTGTTTCACAGTTATGTTTCACCTTGGCTGTGGGCTTGCAGTGGCTAACCTTCACAAGTTCTTCACTTTCTGGGTTAAACAATCAACCTTGATCTTGGACATACCCTTCTTCAGTGTGTGTGTGTGTAGGGGGTCAGTGGAGGGATCTCGTGATATTCTAACAAAGCTTTCACTTGGAAGTGTTGTCCATTGATCCCTGCTTGACTGTTTTTTTTCTTTTTTTCCTTTTAAATTTTTTGTCAAAGCAAGTAATATGCTCCTGTCTGATGCCCGTGGACTGAGTACAGCTTGTTTCCAGGGACACTGAACCACTTCAAGCATGATGGACTCCACCTTGGCTTGCCATTCCTGCAGATGTGTGTACTCTTCTTTCCCTTGTCGACCATCTTTATGAAGGAGATGGGTTTTGTAGAGCAAAATCATGAAGTTTTTTCCCTCCTCTTTCAAATCTTCCTCAATGTTACTTTTGACTCTCGATATTATCCCAAGCAGATCTGAAAGCTTTTCTTAACATTTGAGGACTTCTCACTCACTCACTCAGTCTCAACTTCATGACTTAAAATGTTCTATTTGATCAAAGCAATCAATTTAACCTCTCAGTCAGTTTAAAAATCTCTACTGCAGCTCTCAGGAAGACCTGGGTTCAGACCTTTGCAAACCTGACATTTAGAAACTGGGGCAAGAGGATCCAGAGTCAAGGTCATCCTTGGTTAGGCCAGCCTGAGCTGCATGTGGAAAAAAAAAAAATTATGAAGGCACAGATGTGAAAGGGAAAATACTAGAAAGTTCCAAGTTTGGTCTCTGCTTTACACCAAATTCACAGTCACTGCCTTTTAATGTATCGTTTGATGCAACCATATTGTCTGAGGCCTGGTCCTGGATAAGCCAGGGTTGTGTGATAGCACATTCCAACAGTGTTAATTATAAGAGTCTGAGAATAGAAATAAGCAGATCGAAAAGAAAAGAACAACAAAATGCTCTTCATTTACCAGTAGTAAGTGGAGGTCCACTGTCTTAGTTAGGGTTTCTGTTGCTGTGAAGAGACCCCATGACCACAGCCACTGTTCTAAAAGGAAACTTTTAATGGCGAGTACTTACAGTTTCAGATGTTCAGTCCATTATCATCATGGCAAGACATGGTGACATGCAGGCAGACATGGTGCTGGAGAAGGAGCTGAAAGTGGAGAAGGAGCTACATCTTCATCCTGCAGGCAACAGGAAGTGGTCTGTCTCACACGGTGTAGCTTGAGCATAAGAGATCTCAAAGCCCTCCCCCCCCATAGTGACACACTTCCTCCAACAAGACCATGTCTACTCCAACAAGGTCATATCTCCTAATAATGTCACTCTTGTTGGGGGTCATTTTCTTTAAAACCACCACACCTACCAAGCCTGAGCATAGCAAGGCACTTTATTAATAAATAAACAAAGCCATTGAAATGTCAACCTTCATGAAGAACAGGGTGATTAAATGGACTAGGAACCTGACAACAGAAAATTATTCCCAGCATTTTGTTATGACTATTATAAATGTATAAAAATTAATTTAAAAAAACCTCTCATGCTCACTTACATATTCATCACACCTACTCTGTTGAATATTTTGTATTGTCTGTTTTATTACATGTCTCCATATGCTTAGCTTCTTATACACACAGAAATCCATTTCTGTTTCATTTTAGATGGGTGTCATGTGTCCGAGGCTAGCCTTAAAGTTCCTATGTAGCAGAGCATGGCTTGTACTTTCAGTCCTCCTATCTCTACCTTCTGAGTGCTGGATAACAGGTGTGTACCATCATACCTGGTAACTTGGGACTTCATGTGAACAAGGCAAGTACTCACGTAAGTGAGTGTGGTGAGTGCTACCCCAGTTTCGGGGGAGGAATAACCACTCTTGATTCAGACTTGGTATAACACTCATTTATTCACACAGTAAGATTATAAGCAATATTTATCCTGTCTTCCAAATGGAAGGGGAAGTACCTCTCCAGGTGTACAGGTCTGGACTTGCCACGTCTGTGCCTCTGGATCTTGGGTCTGCACTGGGGACAGGATCTCACGTCTCTGGCGGAGGAAAGTCGTCTCGCGGGAGGGCCTGACAAGCTCTGTTGGTCGGATCTGAGGCTTCATCTTTTATATTCTTTTCTGGCTAGCTTTCTAGTCTTATCCCTACTTCCACACATAGCTTATAGCTTATTACTACTCCATTTGTGGTTTACTTATGTCATTCTATTGCTTATCAATCCTGACCAGGGTTGTTCACCCTAGGTTTTATATCTTCCTTACGGTGAGCTTCATCCTTTATTTTTATTCTGTGTATAGGTGTTTTACCTGCAGGTATAACTGTGTACCGTATGTGGGCAGTGCCTGTGGACACCAGAAGAGGGCACTGGATCCCCTGACTGGAGTTACTGATGGTTATGAGCCGACACGTGGTGCTGGGAATAGGACCAAGGTCTTCTAGAAGAGCAATTAGTGTTCTCAACTGCTGAGCCATTTCTGCAGCCTCCTCCCACCCATTTTTTTATACAATAAGGTAAGTTGCTGGGCCAGCAAGACAGCTCAGCAGGCAACACACTTGCTCCCAACCTGATGACCTGAATTCAGTCCTGGCACCCACATGGAGGAAGGAGAGGACTCCTAAAAGTTGTCATTGCAAATTGTCCTCTGACTGTCACGAACACGTTGAGGGGCACATGTGCACACAGATAAATCAATAAATGTAGTAAGTATCTTTTGGGTTTGAGAATCTTGGCTTTGTTATTTCAACATTGTAAATTATATTCTTTTGAGACAAGGGGCTAATTGAACCTTTTTATTTAAAAAATTCTACTAAAATTTTAATTTTGTTATTCTGCTTACTTTGTATTTAATTTTTAAAAATATGATTTGTTTAATTCTTGAGAATTTCAGACATGTGTTTTGATTGTGTTCACCCCCAATTCTCCTAGATCTACCCTCACTTCCCCTTGTCCTCCAATTTCCTGTCTTCTTTTTTAAAGATTTTTTGTTTTTGTTTTTGTTATTTGGGATAGGGTTTCTCTGTGTAGCCCTGACTGTCCTGGAACTCACTCTGTAGACAGGCTAACCTCGAACTCAGAGATCTGCCTACCTCTACCTCCTGAGTGCTGGGATTCAAGGTGTGTGCCACCACCACTGCCTGGCAATTTTCTTTTACTTATTTTTAAATATGTGTATTTGGGTGGCGATGTGGCATATGCCACCTCATCAGATGAATTCACTGAAGTTCAGAGTCTTTTCAAAAGTGAAATTTCGAAGGCCACCTGAAGGCCACATTGAAGACTACCATCACCTGGTCTGTTATCACTGTGTTTATTCAATAAATATACTAGCCAGCTAAGTGCAATTGGAAGAAGGGAGGAGAGAAGAGACAGAGAGACATTGTAGGTGGGCAATTCACTAGCAATGGAATAGTGGATTGTAAGGGCAATGTGGCTCATCATAGGACTTAGTATCCTACTGCTGTGTTCTTCTTCCCTCATGGAGGGACGTCCTAGCTGAGGTGATCTGCTCTGGTGTGGATCTGCCATATACTCACACAAGAAGCCACAGAAGTGCTGAGTTTGGATACAGACAGTGGTGGGACTTGGAACCCAGAAGCAGGTGAGGCTGACTTGAAACTTGCTTGTGGGGCACAGAAAGACTCAGTAAGTGTTGATGCCACTGCTGTAGACAACTATGTGAGGCCAGGTTCCAGGTTGGAGGAATAGCATTGCTTCTTTGGATTCTGAAGTGTGAGGCACAGAAGCAGCTCAGGACATGGGATGGTACAGGGCAGAGCAATAGTTGACATTGTAGGTATCTCAGTGCAAAGCTCAGGCCTGATATGTGTTATGGAATATTATTTTAACTAGACAAAGATGTGTTACATTTGTTTATGCTGCAGAATATTACTTTAACTGTGTAAAGGTGTGTTACATTTGTTTCTGCTACATTTGTTAAATTATGTAAAGGTATGTTGCTGTTTCACCTTGCCTGCCTAAGGCACCTGATTGGTCTAATGAAGAGCTGAATGGTCTAGGCAGAGGAAGGATAGGCGGGGCTGGTGGGCAGAGAGAATAAATAGGAGGAGAAATCTAGACTTAAGAGAGAAGGAAGAGAGAATGAGAGAGATGCCTGGAGCCAGAAGCCAGGCAGATGCCAGTCCAGCTGGACACAGAGACAGCAGCAAAGTAGGATATAAAGAAAGTTAAAAAAAAAAAAGGTAAAAATCCCTGAAGCAAAATGTAGATGAAGAGGAACAAGTTAAGTAATAAGAGCTAGCAAGAAAAGAGCTAACCAGGCTGAGCATTCTAATAACTACTAAGAAGTCTCTGTGTCATGATTTTGGGAGCTGGTTGGTGGCTCCAAAGAGAAAAGCCTGGTTCAGGTGTGGGCCTTCTGCCGAAGGAGTGGAACAGCACTGACCCTGTACTTCCTATTTGACTAGCCTCCATTTTTGCAGGTCTGTGCCCTTCACTGTTCACTTAACCCTTAATTTGTTATTTCTATAGAGAAGTAAGTGTGGAGACTCCCTTGTCCTCAGTCTGCCTATTGGAACTCCCAGGTTTTTGATATACACCTGGTTGTCCATCATGAAGAAGCAGTTTGCAATTTGCCTTGAGACCAACTATGGGGAGGTAACTATGTACTGGCCAAGATAACACCAGAAGCCTTTTCAGGGAATGTCTCCATTAAACAAACAAACAAACAAACAAATAAACAACATCAGGGCTGGAGAGATGCCCCACCAGTTAAGGGGTGTGCTGCTTTTGCTGAGGACTAGGGTTCAGTTCAGTCCCAGCACTCAAGTCCAGGGGCTCACAAGCACATGCCACTCCAGTTCCAGAGGATCCTCAGGCATCTGCAAACCCACGCACAAACCCACGCACACAAACACGTAAATAAAGTAAAATAACTCTTTTTAAAACTCAGTCAAGTGTAACTTTCCCTCCTGACTGTTTAGTGCACGCCTGGCCCTGAAGCTTCCATCATCCTGGAGTTCAGCCCTCAGTGCTTGCAAGAAAGAAATTGAGCGGTCATGATTTTTTGTGTCTGCCATTTGGGGCCAGCCCGGTGCTACAGTAGAGCTGTGGTGATCCTCTGCTCCCTGAGGTGGCCATGGCCACCTCCTGCTTCCTGCATCTCTGTCACAGACTTCCCTAACACGTTGCTATGACTTTGGTGTTTTAGTAGGTACTCCGAGTTTGATGACATCTGTGACCAGATTCCAGTCTGCTAATGCTAATGTGGATCTTTGTTCTCTTACAAATTCTGACAGTTTTCAGTATCTTTTCCTTTTGATTAGATTGAAAGCTCTTTGGACACCGGGACCGTTTTTTTTTAAATTTGTCTTTATAGACTTTTGTTCAATTTTTTCCCTTTTTTCTTTCTTTCTTTTTCTTTTCTTTTTTTTTTTTTTGTAAATAGATGGCTTTCTAAAAATGATGGTGTTTTGCCTGCATGTGTCTGTGTGAGGGTGTTCGATCTCCTGAAATTGGAGTTACAGACAGCTGTCAGCTGCCATGAACTGAACTGGGTCCTCTGGAAGAATAGCCAGTGTTCTTAATGGCTGAGCCATCTCTCTCTCTCTCTCTCTCTCTCTCTCTCTCTCTCTCTCTCTCTCTCTCTCTCTCTCGCTCTCGCTCTCTCTCTCTCTCTCATTTGCTTCATTGTTTAAAGTCTTATAGTTTTTTTGTTTTTGTTTTATTTGTGTTTTGGGTTCCTTGTGTGGCCTTATTTTCAAACTCAATATATAGACAAAGATGACCTTGAACTTCTGATCCTCCTACGTCTACCTCCCAAGGGCTGGGATTACAGGTGTGCACTGCCACACTTGGTTTATGCCATCCTGGTGATCAAACGCAGGTCTTCACACACGCCAGGCAAGCACTGTGCTGAGCCACAACCCTAGCACATCTAGTTCCTTACTGAACATTTCTCTCTGGTTTTTAAAAAATTTTGTTTCAAGAATGTTTACCCTTACTTCTTAGAGCATTTTTGTAACAGCTGTTGTAAAGATTTTACCAGTTAATGCTAATGTATGTGTCATTTTGGTGTTGGCATTTGCTGAATGTCCTTTTCTACAAGAGTTGAGATTTTGGTTGTTATTCCAATGCTGTTATTTTGGATTATGCTTTGACATTTTGTTATAAGACTCTGTGCTATTTTGAAATCCTATGAAGAATGTTGAGTATTTTTCTTG